CGGGCGGGGGGGGTGGGCCAGCCACGGCAGCCACATGGGAAGGTCAAAGGTGGCCAGGACTAGGGGCTGCTGGCAGAAGGGACACCGTCGGCTATCAGTGGTAACCACAGTGGCACCGGGCACCCAGACCAGAGTCCCGACGACCCATCGCCTACCAAAACGAATGCCCATGTGCCGTGGTAAACTGATACCCGGAACGCAACCTCTTCACTCTGACGTGCTTCTCGCCACCTCCCCCACATAGCTCCACTAACGGTGGCTCCTGTCTCACTGCTGAGCTGCACGAGCACCCTGCTACGACCTGCAGCTTGGCACAGCAGTCTGCCATGTCCTGTGGGTGACAGGCTGCACCTGCCTGCTCCTTTCAGCTGCTGTCAGACCATCCCAGTCTGCCTGCCCCTCGCTGAAGACCTCTGCTATGTAGACGCACACAATGCCCATGCTCTGCTGAGCACTGCCCCGAGCACGTCCCTCACTCCCATGCCCATGCCCATGGCGGCCTGCCCTGAGCATGTCCCACACTCCCATGCCCATGGCGACCTGCCCTGAGCACGTCCCGCACTCCCATGCCCATGGCGACCTGCCCTGAGCACGTCCCGCACGCCCACGGCGGCCCACACTCTGCCCCACTGCAGCTCAGTTACTGTCTTGCCTCCTACCTGCAGGAGTTTTCTGTGATATCTTTCGTTAAAGAGAAACTCTTACTTACCAATGCTTCCCCAGCCCTGAACTACGAAGATCACCTTCCCGGCTGCCCCCAGGCTTTGTCATTCTGCCATGGGCCCGGCCTCTGTGCACTCCCGTGCCTGTCTGCAGCGTGTGCTGCCGGAGCAAGCCGCTGCTTTTCCCACCACTGACACGGTGATCTCAAACCTGCCCGTGGCCTGCCCGTCTGTCTGTGGGTGTGGGGGCTCTTCGGGCTCTTCTGTGTCCAGTCTCTGCCACCAGACTGAGCTTCCCATGTGGCCCCAGCCTACGGAGCGAGGGCGTCACTGTACGCACGGGTGGGTGGGGCCGGCCTGGCTGTGGTCACGCCTATCTCCCTGCACTTCGGTTGCACCGGTTAGCGTGAAGAATCCTGTCTCACCCTCTGCTGGTCTCCCCCCACAGAGCTATATTTCTTTTTGTTTTCCTGGTGCTTTCCCTGAGGACGCTCGGCACTGGTACATGCAGGTCTACGCACAGCCCACGGCCCGTCCTCCCTGGGAGGGGCACGTGCTCGAGTGCCGTCTGCAAAGCTGCCTCCTCTCGGGCTGCTGCAGGCACACACTCCGCGTCAGAAGTCGGGTCCACTCTATTGCGTGTGTCATGGACGGCCTTCGACTAACGAGACGTCTACAGGAGAAGAGGCCTCTACGCCGGGCGCGCCTGGTCTCCGCTGGGCGCCCCAGCCCGGCGTATAGGTGTGGGTGACCCTCACCTCCTGCCGCCCACCGAGCCTCATCTTCCGGCATGTTTGAGAGGTGTTGGTTCTACGGTGGTGACTCAGCACGACCAAGTGTCATCCGCTGACTCGGGTCTCTGCGGGCAGGAGGGGTGCGGGCCCTGTCCGCACGTACGTGACCAGTCTTCTCTGTCTCAGCCCCTCCTGCGGTCCATTCTGGCCAGGCACCTGCTCGGACACAGCTGCATTTCTGGACCAGCTGCCATTTCTTCCGACTTTGGGAAATCAATGGCCACTACGTCCCCAACACGTTTTCCTGACGGACTCTCTCCTCTTGTCTTTCTGGGGTTCCAGTGTACAGGAGGGTGGTCAGACTGCCTGGCGGCCTGCCCGGCTACTACAGGGCACTCCCTGCCGCCGCCCCAGCCTGCCGCAGCTGTGCACCACATCCCGCTCAGCGGCTGCCCCCAGTGCCACCTGCCCATCTTCCTGTATGACCCTCAGCCCTGCAGGTGTTGGCTGCTTCTGTCTGCGCCAAGTGCTCTCTCCAGCCTAATCGACTCTGTGGCGCCAGCTCTCTAGGGAGGCTGGAAACAGTCGCCTGGGTGAACGGGGCGCTTGCCCGCTCATCCTAATCGCTATCTGTAGTTATTTACAGAAAAATAAAGGCTTCTATACCTCCAAATCCACCAAAACAAAATAAAGAACTAAATACAAACTGAAAAAGTATTTATGACATGTGAATAACAAGAACAAATTAAAACAGGGAACAAAACCCTCAAACACTTCTGCAGACCAGCTGCTAACGCTGTGGGTGCACACAGTGTGGTAAGGGGGGCCGGGCCAGCACCCTGCAGCAGGTGAGGGTGCTCCTTGGGATGTTCATTTTGTTTGTTTTGTTTTGTTTTGAGAGGTTTTTGCTATAGGGCACGTGTGTTCGCCAGAAAGACAGAGAGAGATAAAGCGAGAAATCACACCCTGGGGGGGATGGCCACACCACAATCCCTTCTCCTCTCGGGATCTTGGACACACACGCACACGTGCCCGGCACGAATTTAAGCCACTGGGTCCGGGACTCAAACCACGGTCGACTATGTGGGAGTCCAGCGACATAGCCATTACGCCAACTGATGGTCCTCATGGTTTTTTCTTTCTTTCTTTTTTTTTTTTTTGAGAAAGGTTTTTTGCTATCGGGTGTATGTGCCTGCTAGAGAGACAGAGAGATAAAAAGTGAGAAATGACCCTCCCCACCCCCAGGGAGATGGCCACACCACAAACCGCTTTCCTTCACTCTCCTCCCGGGATCTTGGTCAGGCAGCATGTGCACCCAGTGTGAGTTTGAAGCTGCCGGGTCTGGGACCTGAACCACCGTCAACTACGTGGGAGTCCAGCGATGTAACCATCATGCCATCTATTGCTCACTCATTTTGACCCAGGTACTACAAACCCAAAAACCCGCCCTAAAGCAATCAACACGTACAAATACTTAGCTACAAAAATGTCCGGTGAGGCACTGTTTACAATTAAAATGGAAAATAAGATAAATATTTTAAAAAATACAAGTTTGACTTTAAAAAAGTGACACAACTGTATGAGAAACTATGAGTGCGTGACTTGCGGGGGCCCCACGGGACAGTTGAGTGGCACAGGGAACAGAAGCGACCATTCGACGTTAAGAGCGATGGTAAGTTAGCATGGAGAGTGTGCTAATCTTTTTGCTGGAGAAAACACGTGTTCATTACCGTGAAGGGCTTCAGGAATGTTTACGTTTTACCACGGTGATACACACCCCAAGGTCGGGCCTGCCGGGAGCCAAGTCCACACCGCTACTTCCAAACTTTTTCCTAATCCCAACGCAACTCAGTAACACGCCCCCACCCAGCCCCTGGAAACCTCTCATGTCTCAGCCTCTGATGATTCCTATTCTGCGTGGACGTCGGGGCATGCAGCACTGTCAGGACGTGTACGTCTGCTTCTGCTTCGTGCCCAAGTGCTCACCTCACGTACGGCCACACGCGGCTGGGCTCCAGCTGGCCTCCCAGCTCCTGAACAGAGTTGCAGTGCCCACCACTGTCCGCCCCTGGGGCGGGCATCACACACGGTCACTGTGCAACTACGTGAGGAACCGTCCACGGTGGTCGCACTGTCTACACTCACCAGCCGCGCGGGTCCCAACCTCACCTCAGCTCTCCCTCCTCGGCTCTCAGCTGGGCACGGCCCTAATGAACGCGGTTCTGCTGTGTAGACACCCTACAGCCAGGGGCCGCACACGGCTGCATGCACATCCTGGTGACTCAGGGTGCCGAGTGCCTCTTCACGTGCTACTCGGCCATTAACACCGTCTGCGACATGGCTCTTCAGTCTGCCCCTTTTGAAATGGATTGCTCGGGGGTATTCTGTTACTGAGTAGTAAGACTTCTGTGGTCTGGACAGTAACCACTTTTCAGATACAGGGCTTCAAACCCTCCTCTTCTGGACTGTCATCTACTCTCTTGAGTGGCCTCTGATGCACAAAATATTTAATTTTGATGTTTATCTATTTTTCCTTTTATTCTCTATACATTTTATTAGAGAGGTTTTTGCTATAGGGCGCGTGCGCTCACCAGAAAGACAGAGACAGAGACAGAAAGCGAGAAATCACCCCAGGGGTGATGGCCACGCCGCAATCCCTTCTCCTCTCGGGATCTTGGGCACGCACACACATGCGCCTGGCATGAGTTTAAGCCACTGGGTCAGGGACACGAACTACAGTCGACTACATGAGAGGACAGCAACATAGCCATTACGCCAACCGCTGTTACCTACTCTCCATACTTTTCATGTCACACCCAAGAACTCATCACCACACCCATGCCGTGATACGTCCTTTGACACCCTCCTCAAAGGCACAATTTAACTCTTAAGTTCAGGTCTCTGCCCCTTCTAACTGATTCCTATGTGTGGTATGAGGTCGGGTTGCAGCCTCTGCATGGACACGGCCTTCCCACAGAGCATCCTGTGGCCGCACGCCGGCTCCCTGGATGGCACACCCTGCCTCACCACCTTCGTCAGTGAAGCTCTGCAATCTGAATGCACTTTTCTAACTTTCTTCTTTTTTGAAATTATTTGGTTCTTGGTCCCAAGATTCAATGTGAACTACAGGATGAGAGGGTTTTTGTGCACCCGTGGAAAGGACATTGGCACTTCGGTAGGAACTGCATGGACACTGGAGGGTACCTGGGTGATACTGCCCTCTACCTGAGCCAGCCTCCCGCCTGTGGACAGAGCTCCATTTAGGCCGTCTACCTGAGGGAACCTCCCGCCTGTGGACAGAGCACTCTCCGCTTACTCAGGCCTCCTCTGACTCCATTGGCATGCTTGTCATTTAGACTGTACACGTCTTTCGCCCCCTTGGTTGAACGTATTACTATTTTTTGATGGATCATAATTTCCTTTCTGGGTAGTTCATTGCATGCATAAAAGTACAACTGCCTCTTCTGTGTCTACTCTGTCCTGCACTTTGCTGAACCAGGTGACTGACGAGCAGCGGCTCTGCAGATCCCTTATGGTTTCCTGCATGGAAGCTCCGTCACCTGTGAGCAGAGACCGCTGACGGTCCTCCTTTCCAGCCTCAACTCTGCTTCCCTCCCTCCTTGCCTCACGGCCCCGGGGAGCAGACAGACGGCAAAGTGCGTGGTCCTGAGCTCCCTGCTCTCCGGCACACGGCTCTGCTCACAGACTAGCCCTTTGCCTAAAAGCCCAGAAGCCAGGAATGGGGCAGGAGCCACTTCTGGACAACCGGGTGAGCGCCAAGACCCTGAGGCTGGCGGCATCCTGCTGAGAGCCAAGCTGCCCGCACCTCTCAGAAACCCTGCCCCCCAATACTGACCCCTCGGGGAGCCTACCTTGGGGTCCACCAGCGCCCCGGCCTTGATGAGGTACTTCACTGCGTCCAAGTGGTTGTTCTCTGCTGCCTCCATCAGCGGCGTCCTCTGGTCTTCCGAGCAGGTGTCAATGTTCGCACCCGCCTAGTAAAACAAGGAAGAGTGAGGGTGTCGGAGCAGCCACTGCGGTCACCCCCAAGGTGAAGAGATTTAACACGCTACACTCACATTGTAGTACTGCCCAACGACGAGTCTTCCAAAAATGCACACGAAGACAAACCTGTCCTGTTACTACCTGTCTCCAGTGCAGGCAGAGTATTTTCGATAAATTGTATTTCATTTCAAGCTACTTTGGCAGAAAATGTCACCAGCATGGCAGTGACAACCACCTTTGTTTGGAATGAGGAAGATAAGGGAAATGATCTAACTCAGGTGATGCAGGGGTGGGGTGACGAGGCCCCTGAGGAAAGGGGGAACAGAGGACCCTCAGCAGAGCGGGATCGGGGGGAGATGTCGAGGGCCTGCAGGACGCAGAGCTCACCGTGCCCCCCTCCCAGTTGCTGTGACACACAGCTGTGGCTCTGGCCCCGCCTGGTGGCAGAGCTGGTGGCAAGCCAAACTACAGTGCTGGAAGCCATGGTCAGCCAGGGTTTGGATCCCGGGGATGGCCCAAAAACACACCAGGCAAGTGCGCAGGCGCCGAGCTCCTGAGAAGCCAGAGGGCTGGGACAAGGGACCGCCAAGTGACAAGGCCTTGCTGTGAGTGCGTCTCTCCTCTCTGTCTCTTGTCATGAGCTCTCTATCATGAATAAAATAGATAAAACTAGGGACCAGCAGTTAGTGTAATGGCTATGTTGCTGGACTCCCATGTAGCCGACAGCGGTTCGAGTCCTGGACCCGGTGGCAAACTCACACCAGACTCGTGTGCATGCGTGCCCAAGTTCCTGAGAGGAGAATGGAGGAGAAGGGATTGCGGCGTGGCCATCCCCCCGGGGGGTGATTTCTCGCTTTCTGTCGCTGTCTTTCTGGTGAGCGCACGCACCCTATAGCAAAAACCTCTCCAAAAAAAGAAGACAAAAATTCCAGCAGTATATTTTGGAGCAATTTCGATTTCTCCAGTAAAGGGAGAAAGCAGGAGGACGGGGGGGAGGGTGCCAGCCGGTATACACAGGCACGTCTCTGCTCACTGGAGCCTAAGAGGCCACCTCCAAACCTGTTTGTGCTCAAAGCCGGTCAGCAGTTTGGCCGCTAACACCTTTTCTCCATGGGAGGAGATTGCACGAGTGCACAAAATCTCATACTTAGTCTGTGAATGCTGATCCTGAGAAAGGCTGAGAACAATATTCTTTTTACCATCAGCAAGGGAAAAGAAAAGTAATGCGATTAGGCACAAAGGCTTCAAACAGACCCAGGTGGCCCACGGGCGCAGGCGCGATTCATCGGATCTGACAGACGCAGCAAGAGTCTCGAGGGACTGGACAGCTGTCCCAGAGCTGTTTTAGGGGCAGGACTGCAGGCCAGATGTCTACGAGCTCCCAGGCAGTGAGTGTAGGACAGGTGACTGTAAACACCACATTCGAGGCGGGGGTGGAGGGGCAGGCCTGAGGGCAGGGTGAGGCCAGAGCTCAGGGCAGCCCGCTTCCCGGGTAGCTGAGCTTCAAGAACACACAGAACACGGTGGGACGAGGGCCCAGGCGGGGCTGTGGAGGGACACTGCAGGACACAGCGCATAAGTGGCCCTGCCCCCCAGGCCCTCAAGAACCAGGCACCAGGGAAAGACCCACACTTGCCCCTCATGCTCCCTGAGGGTTGGTGCCCGCCAGCGGCCAGCTCCAGACCAAACACACAGGCCCTAGAGGGTCTACTCAGTGACTGGGTCACTGGGTGCCGCAAAGAACTGACGCTGCAGGGGACACGGCAGGAAGTTGAGGAATGTTCTAAAGACTTCAGGACACAGGAGGGGAGGGAAGAGAAATGCCAACTGACTTGTGGGCCCCTCGTGGGTTTGCAGAGCTGGGTGGCGGAAATGAGGGGTTCCTTGTAGTGGGGAACTCGAGTGCCCACCCTGGTCAGGCCCAACGGGACACGCCTCCCACATGCTCCCCCACCCCTGTGAGTGCTGTGCAGCACAGCCAGGTCCTGGGGCCCCGGCAGTGACAGCTATGCACGCTCAGTGGTGCCACCCTGCTTGACAGAATACACCCGGTGCTTCAGAGAGGGGTCCCGTAGCCCGGACGCCGCAGCAAGGTGGGGACAGGGCCCCCGCAGCCCTGAGCCCGGCAGCAGGGGCAGGCCTGACTGCAGGCCAACTGCAGAACGCGCTCCGGCAGTGTGTGTGGCTGGTGTCTCCAGGAGCGGCCCTCGCCCAGCGCATGCCCAGGACTGGGCAGGAGCGCGCCCACCCTATCTGATGTCCTTGTGCTGAGCCCCGAGGGTCATGAGAGGCAGGGCTCTCCGTGCTGTGCTGGGGCCACCGACCAGAGCGCTCAGCTTCCGTGAGACTCTCGAGAGAAAAACAGAGGGTGCGCGAACATCGAGGTCACCCTGAAAGGTGCTGCCGGGCCGGGCCGGGTGAGCCAGTGGAAACTGAACGCAGACGGGGCCCAGAGTCGCCCATGGGAAGAGGATGAGTTTTTAGGGCCACCTCGAGCCAGCTCTCCAGGTAGGGGTAGGGTGAAAGCGAGACACCCCACAGCACCCTTGGGCTCGTGGCGAGCAGGAACACACCTATAGTCTGGGTTCCCGCAGCATCTTAGGACAAACGTTCGGCTCTCAGAGGAATAAACAACACAGAGACAGAGACCCTCCTAGGCCAGGACACCCTGCTCCTGGTCGCCACCAAGTGCTCCGGATCCCAGCCTGGCAGTGCTGGCAGGCCAGACCTGCCAGCGCTGGGCAGAGGTTGGTGCCAAGGGGCCTACCGGCTGGGCGGTGTGCCTGCAGGGACTGCAAGGTCGCAGCAGCTGGAAGCAGAACAGACGGCTCCTGCTCACGACCGCCCTGGCTAGGTGTAGGGACACGCCATGGCCATGACTGGGGTGCTGGCCTTGCCCAAGACGCTCGCCTTTGCGTGGTATCTGACTCAGCAGGTGCCAGGACTGCAGCCGGCTCAGCTGAGACTGCCACACAGGGTCCAAGGGCAGGAGGGTGCCATGTCCCCAGGACAGACCTGCTGGGTGAGACCTGCCACTACTTCAAAACTCTGACGGAGAGGTCCACACTGGAAGGGCTTTTGTGTGTGCGTGACAGATGCACATACGTTTGTTTCTCCCAGCATCCATGTATTAATCTTGCTAAAGGGGGAGTGTACTCACCAGAGAGAGAGAAAGAGACAGAGACAGGAGGAAGCACCCCATGGGCGTGGGCGCACTGCCGCCCTCCTCCCCCTCTCCTGCTGTCCAGACAGGCCCACCTGCCCAGCTGGTTTCTCAAGTCACCGGGCCAAGACTTGAACTGCAGCTGGCCCCGTAGGATCTGGCAGCCCTAACCACCACACCACAGAGCCAGTCCAGTTTTAATTTGTAAAAAAGCCAAAGAGAAAGCAAAGTTCCTCGAAGGGTAACAAAGTAACTTCTGAACAGAGAATGAAGCTGGGACATGGAGGAGTCATTCCTCGGCCTGGAGTTCTGGGCCAGGAGGCAGGTGCCCGGGACTCCTGACGTACGCAGGTGTCAACGACGGGCCGCTGGGCTGAGGGTGCCTACTGATACCATGATGGTCAAGCTGAGCTTGTGTCTGTGTTTTGCTCTAGGACACATGTGCTCAATGGAGAGAGACTGAGAGGGAACGTGAGAGACCCCCGGGGGGCCCACCACAGTCCCTTCTCCTCCGTCCTCCTACTGGGATTCTGGGCACGCACACACACGTGCCAGCCTGTTTCACGTCATGGGTCCAGGACGCGAGGGCTGGCGCCGACACGTGGGACCCAGACCCAGCGCCTTTGCCACCTGCTGGCCTTGCTGGTTTCAAATCTTGCCCATCTTAAAAGATCCATGCACGTACAGAGTGACAGGGCTGGGACACAGCACGGTGGCTGAGCGAGAGGACCCCATACGGCTCATCACGGCTCTGCGCTCGGTCCGTGTGGCCTGAAAAACACGGCATGTGAGCACGCGTGCCGACACTCCTCTGAGGAGCGTGGGGACCGGGGCCGGAGAACCCGCCGGTGCAGCAACCCCGCCTTCTCTCTTTGGCAAGTGCACACGCCCGCTGGCAGTTTTACAACATTTTTTTTTTTGGAGAGGTTTTCGCTATAGGGCACGTGTGCTCGCGAGACAGACAGAGAGAGACAGAGAGACAGAAAGCGAGAAATCACCCCCCAGGGGGGATGGTCACGCCACAATCCACTCTCCTCCATTCTAGTTTTACAACATTTTTTAAATGTAAGGGAAAAACTACCCCTGCAAACATAGAATGTCCGCAGTGTGGCTGGACGTGAGGGAGCTGGCCTGCTGGAGGGCGTGAGCCTCCTCCGGGCCCAGCAGGGACCACAGCCACAGCACGACTGGCGGCCCTACCCAGGAGGCCATGTCTGGGGCCCCTCCTAGAGTGAGCCTGGGACCACCCTGCAGAGAAGACCACCAGTGGAGGCGTCTCCCCGCCACCCCTCATGCGCACACACAGGCTACCATTTGCGAGAGGAAAGAAGGGACCAGCAGATGGCACAGCAGTTACATTGCTGAACTCCCACACAGCCCACTGTGGTTTGAGTCCTGGACCCAGTGGCTCCAAAATCACACCAGGCGTGTGTCCAAGTGTGTCCAAGACCCCGGGAGAAGAGCAGACGAGGGACTGCAGCATGGCCAACCCCAGGGACGGTTTCCATTGTTCCCTCTCACTGTCTCTCTCTGGCGAGCACACAGGCCATAAAGGCAAACACCTCTGAAAAGAGGAGAAAGGAGAGGACCAGCAATTAGCGTAATGGCTATGTTGCTGGACTCCCATGTAGTCGACCGCAGTTCGTGTCCCGGACCCGGTGGCTTAAACTCTGATCGGGCGCGTATGCGTGCGTGCCCAAGATCCCGAGAGGAGAATGGAGGAGAAGGGATTGTGGCATGGCCATCCCCCCTGGGGGGTGATTTCTCACTTTCTGTCTCTCTGTCTCTCTCTGTCTTCCTGGCGAGCGCACACGCACCCTATAACGAAAACCTCTCAAAAGAAGAGGAGAAAGGACTGTGAGCAGGGCAGTCTGACGCCTCGGGGCAAGTGTGAACACTTCCTCAGAGAGGCAGTGAGGAGCTGGAGCGAGGAGGGAGGAGAGGGCTCTCAGGTTCGAGCCCTGAGGGCAGAGATGAGCAAACCAGGAGAGGCAGGTGAAGCAGGGAGCACCACCCAGAGGTGGGGCAGAGACGGAGACCGACCATGGGGCACCTGTCCAGACAGGTATGGAGCCCAGGCTGGGGTGCACTGAAGGCCATGGGCTGCTGCAGTGAACGCCCCAGGAGACTAGAGCGGGCCCAAACCTGGGGCATAGCAAGCAGCGCTGGACCAGAGGGTCAAAGGAACACTCCCGAGACTGAGTAGGTCCCCAAGAAGGCTCAGGAGCGACACTGCATCAGAGCAGGACACACAGCAAACCGGCCCAACACAGGCCAGGGAAAGGACTCTGGGGTCAGAGCGAGAACGGTGCTTGTCCAGGTTCCACAGCCTCCCGCGTGTCTGGACAGAGGCAAAGCTGCACCGAGTGGCGGCTGCCGAAGTACTAACAGGCAGCACAGCCCCAGCGGGAGAGACAAGCCAGACTGTGCTGGGATAGGACCGGCCTCCAGTGCTCACCGCCCAGCGCAGGCTCAGCAGACTCCAGCCCACAGACGGCACTGCTGCAGCAGGGTCGGAGAGGCTGTCTGTGCACCTGCGCGCTTCTGCCCCATAGCGGGAGGCGGTCAGCACCAAAGTGAACTGGACACCGAAATGCAGGCCACGACACAGCCACACATGTGATCAGCCACATCTATGGCTAGCGTGTTGCTTCCACACACGGTGGAGAGCCGGCAGAGTTGCATGCTTCCGCCTCGCAGCACTGCCCGGCCCTGACTGTGCAAACACGCACCCTGCCATCACGTCGCTCTGATAACGAGAGCAGGGGAGACGCCCCGGGGAGCAGTCGCGAACCTGAACCAGCATGTGGCAGATGTCCACGTGGCCGGCCTCCGCTGCGGCGTGCAGTGGGGAGCGCTTGTTCTGGTGCTCCATCTTGAAGTTGGGGTCGATGCCGTCCACTAGAACAAACACAGCACTCACTGACGTTGCAGACATGGCTGCTGAGGCTGCCCAGGTGCC